CGGCATAGGTGCCTTCGACCCACGGTACAGTTAGGCGAAACTCACCTTACACTGCTTAAGTCCCGCGGATAAAACTTCAACTACTAGTCGACAGATTCCCGAGCTTTCAACATCAAAACAACACCCAATTAATAATTGGTTCCAAGCCCGAGGTCCAACTCACACTCTAAAGGCGCAATACTTAACCAATGGACCAAAGCCCAACATATGGCCCAATTTTCCAAATTGGGCCCAGACCTCTACATGGTCTTACCTTAAGGCCCAACCACTTAGTCCGGTCCAAACATTTGGCATTTCAATTGGTCTAACCTCTCATAATCCTCAAGGTCTAGTTATGGCCCATCTATGGCTCAATTTTCCAAATTGGGCCCAACCCTCACATGGGCCTTACCCTACAGCCCATCAAAATATTTTAGTCCAATTACTTGTTTTTGGATAGCCCATCAGTAGCCCAATCACCAAAGCCCAATAGAAAGGCCCAACTCAAGGCCCAAGTGAAATTAGGGTTTTCACATAAAATGACGATTAGGGTTAAGTTTTTCTTACTTAACCCATTAAGGACTTAATCCATTAAGTCCATCAATCTACTAGGTCAATCATATAGTGTGGTCGGGCTTACTACATAATCCCCATCCGGTCATCCAAAAATCCGAGTCCCGATATGTCCAAAACCTATATATATATATATATATATATATATATATATATATATATATATATATATATATATATATATATATATATATATCTAAGATTAGGGTTTTCTAAACCCTAATTAGGGTTTCCAACCCAATCCCAACCCAATTAGACCCAAAAGTTAACTCTTTTGAACAATTAGGGTTTCATTAGGCCCACTAGGGTTTCATAAGTCAGGCACCACCCACTACCACCTCGGGTAGTGGTGGTCAACAGCGGCCCATGACAGCTCACGGCGGCGGCCACTACCTTACGATGGTGGTTATGGTTCCAGTCTATTTATGTCCAAGCATCCCAAAATCAATCTAAACACAAACAAAAGCACACCGCCACCCAACACGGTGGCTGGTGGTGGCAGCCACCACCTCACAGTGGTGGTTATGAGTTTTCTTGATTATACTAGTCACTAATTGCAATTTTACAATGCTTTAACCCAAAGTAAACGCACACACAACAAGGTAAACACACACACACATAATCACCCTTGTGGTGGTCGGCGGTGGTACGTGGTGGCAGCCACCACCTCACGGTGGTGGTGGTGGTTGTTCCCGTGACTTCCGGCCAGACGAAACCACATACAACACACGACCTTGACTGAAACACACTCAAAGATACACACACACACGCATGCTTGGAACAGTAACACCACCACCCACTTAGTGGCGTACGGTGGTGGCAATTGGTTGAGCTTGCAAACGGCAACAGCGCTAGCAGCCGGCAGCGCTGAAATTGTGATGCCGGAGAAGAGATGTGATCCTACACGAGCAACAACAGCCTCCCCAATTGCATCACTGACGATGACAATCTTCGTCTTCAATGGAAGGGGCTGCAGCGATGGTTGCTAGGTAGTCATTGCATGATACCGGTAGCGACCGGATGAAGAGGAATAAATGGTATCCTTCACTTTCGTTGATAGTAGCATCGGCGACGGTTCGAAGCGGCATTGTCACGTTAACAAATGGCGAAAGGTGATGGTGGAATGGCCGTCAGAACCGCAACAATGACGAAGTACCAGAATCAATCTTCTTTAGCCATGAACGACAGCAGTGATGGCCACGGTCCGTCATCGTCGGCAATGGAACAACAACAATGAACGTCTTTTCCGGCAACAATGGTTCGCAGTGGTGACTTCGATGGTCGATAGCGACGACTGAAAGGATGAGTGTTGAGAGGGTGGTGGCTGGAACATAAACTAGGTTTAGGTTTAGGTTTTACGTGGGTTATGGTATGTATATATATGGAGGCTAATGAGGGTGATGGGTTCACCTGTATCCTACAAAAATTTCATATGGTTTTTACACTTCCAGCCCCTCTTCACATTATTATTATTTTCAAAACGAATACTTAATTTACCACTTAAACCCCACCTTCTAAAAACCCTTAGAAATCAAGTCTTAAATTTTACCAAGCAACACCTGCTTGACAAATTCTTTTCAACTTAGATACATAATTTACCCTTTTAGCCCCAACCATCCAAAATCTATTCATATTAAGTCCAAATGATACCAAACACTCCGTAACTACTAAAAATCTTTGCAAAATAAGTCCTAAAGATACACTTTAATCCCCAAAACTCTAAATCGTGTCATTTGACTCCCCAAAACCAACACCCCGAGAAATATTATGGATTTTAGCGCTATAGTTCATTCACCAAAATTTATCTATTTATTTATTTATTTAACCAAACGGAATGTTACAGGTAGCGACTTCCAAAAGGACGGTGTAGGTTGGTGAAGCAAGATTGTCGATCGAGAGAGAGAGATGGAGGTCCTGAACCGGAAAAATGAAACTTATATAGAAAAAAATTACCAATTAATTTAGAAAAAAGAAGTCAATAAGAATTAGGGATTTTACCTTAAGCACCAAAATGAAATTTGGAGGCCGACGATGCTCATGTGGTGGTGACGGCCTGTAGTCTCGGAAGAAAAAAAAAAAAAAAAAAAAAAAAAAACCCAAATCAGAAAAAATAAAATGAGAACTTATAAATAAAGAAGAGAAGAAGGACCAAGAAACATACCTTTCGTCGACGGTGGAGGTTGTCACTACAAGGAAAAAAGGAATTAGCGGCGACAAAAGTCGCTAGTAACGGTTAGAAATGTCGTCGTTAAAGAGAATAGCGACAACTTGTTGTCGGTAAAAAGTCGTAGTACTACCCTATCGCTGTTTCTCCAACTATCATGGTACATATATTTGTCTCCGTTAATGCTCTTGTCACCGGTAAACCCGCCATCGCCGTTGATAAGCTTGTCGCCGCTGTTACCGGAAATAGTGTTGCCAGTAATAACATTTTTCATTTTTAATTTTTTTCTTTTAAATCTAGACTTTTTGATGCAAAAAATCCGATAAGTAACGGCATTAAATGCAGAAAAAAAAAATTAAATAACGACATCCAATTAGGTACCAAATAGTGTTGTAATTTCGTACTAAAATAAAGAACCAAAGTGTTATAATTCCAACAGGTACCAAGGAGGTACCAAGGTGTCACAACAAATTTTTGAAACAAAATTTTGCAATTAATCAAAAATACAAATGGAAATTGAAATTAAAATAGAAATAAAATGAGAAATGAGGAAGGAAAACACGAACCTCGGAGGAGATTGATAGCAAAAGCGCCGAAAATTATGTGACAGTCGAAATCATTGGATAACATGTACCTTGGGGAGTTTCCGGTGGCGTAAAGGCGTCGTTGGTATCTCTTATAACGACGAAAGTAATTCGAGGTGATAAATCGTTGGGATCGTCCAACGATCCATCGGAGAGTAGATGGAAAATAGGAACACAAATGCGAGCTGAAAGCAGAAAGACGAGCCGTAGGTTATCTAAGTCGACCAATAGCGTCGACAATCAATCGTAGCAATAGCGAAATCTTTAGTGACGACACTAACAATTAAATTGCAGCGACTTACATGAAGGGAACTTATCCACATTTTTTTTTCAACCTTTGGCAACGATATTGGGTTTTTGCAAAAACGAGACCCCAGTCATTGGATTAGATACTTGATTGAGTGGTTGTGATTTACCAGAAGGGGAAAACACGGATTCGGTCCACAAGGCGTAACCAACAACGCCTTTAGCGGTGACAAGGGCCTTTTGAGTCGACGCTAAAAGTCTTTTTGATCGCGTCGCCAGTAATTCCTTTGTTTCTTGTAAGGCGTGGCTGAAACAGAGGTCGTCAATTTCTGACGGAAATCGCCGATCGGGATGAGAGAGCAAAAAACGACGGTGCGGCGATTAGGGTGCAGCACTGCATCAGTGAACAGATGAAATGAAGATATAACCCTATAGCCAAAACAAGTCATCGCTATAGCACAAACAATATTAACGCCGTTTCCATTATTTAACATAAATCAGGAAAAAGAATTAATCAAACTATGCAGAGTCGTCAATAAAGATATGTCGTGGATTGAGGTTCCTCTATATCGACCGCATGTCGTCGTTGATTTTTAGCGACAAATAATGTCATCGGTATAGCTGCCTTCGGCATCGGGTTATATTCTTGAAGTGTTTCTGCTATCCCTGTTATAAACCACTTTTAATCATGCTTGCATCGGGTTATATTCTTGAAGTGTTTCGGCTATCCCTGTTATAAACCACTTTTAATCTGGCTTATGAGGTATAAAATAAGCAAAAAGTCATACTTTTCTGGCCCATGCATGTTGGGGTGTCTAGATGTTACTCATTGTATTTTCTTGCAGATTGATTATTTTTTAGATTGGAAACAACTGCTATGAAACAAAGAATTTGTCAAAAATATGAATGTTGAGTCCCCAACCCATGACAACTTTGTTCAACTTTCAAGAGTTTCATGCACTACTAGACGGCCGGTTTAATAACTTCATATATACATTTTTCTTTAAGTAGTGGACGGATGCATCATGTGCCGGCTTCTTTGATATTCACATGTACTTTTGTTCATCCCCATCTATTAAGTATTCTATCCGGTTTCTTATTATTGATTTAAATGTGACAAGGACCTAATCCTACCAGAAACAAACGAAATCCTTCCTTGCCATTGATTAATTACCGTATGTGGACGGCTTAAGAACCACACAACATTATCTTTGAACAATAGCATATCTCTCTCTCTCTCTCTCTCTCTCTATTTTTTTTTTTTTTTTTTTTTTTTACTACCTTACTTTAAAACCTTGGATATTTCTGGCCTCTCCTTGTATACGATTTGTAAACAACTAATTTTTTGTCTTTCTCTAGATAAATCTTGCAATGGGCATATTGAACCATATCCTTCACCCACCTTGGCAGTTAACCTCAAATCATCATTTTCTATCCCGAAGAATAAGAGAAGTATGGGTCGCGACCTAAATGAATATCTCCTTCTTTTGCAACAACTGAAGTCTTACAGTAATGTTCCAAATGAGTTGATATATTCCTTGCGGTCTTACACCACTTTAGTATACGGGTCGGATCTGCAAAACAGGTTCAGTGAACCTATGCCATGGATTGGGATATATATCGCCTTAGCATCTCTGTTTTGCGTCATTGCAATGGTGGCTGATTTATTACACGGATTAAGGAACAGAAAGCTATGGTTTCCTTGCAAATATTTCACACTGAATGCTGCTTCTCTCTCTTTAATAGCTATTGCAATGAAGCTACCTGTGGATTTAAATAACTCAATGCCAGGTGATGTCGACCAGGCTGCAAAGGTTGGAAGCATGGGATTTATGTGCGCCATGATGTCTCATTTATTGCCTGCTCTAGCAACCTTGGACAGCAAGGAGCTTGTCACAAACATCATAGCTCTAAGTGTTCTGGTAATCACCTTAGTTGTGAATGTATGCATTCAAATAGAAACGGGTGTTGTTTCCAGTACTGATGTTCTGTACGTGTTAGGTGATGATTACTATTCAAATTCTGTAAGTTATTACATTAAACCAATAGCAATCATATATGTTGCTATGTTACTGATGTTGCTGATCATTCATGCATGTTCAGCTTTAGCGATTCTAAAGTCCAAACAGATACTAGAAATGAAATACCAAGCAGCTCATGAAACAGCTTTAAAAGACCAAGAGCTTCAACAACAAGGAAGATTAGTTGTTGATAAGATAAAGCAGTATGTGAGCAACTACTGGGTCATGGCAGCTACAGGCAATCCGGAGTTCTTCACAGCTTGTTCCGCTACAAGTTGTGCTTCTGGGATCATATCTGCTATAAGCACTGCTCTCCACGTTATTGTTATGGTTTCCATTGTTGGGTCGCTATGGGACTTTAGGTCGGATTACCAGTGGTCAGCGTTGGTGATTCTCATAACCCAGTTAATCGGATCCTTGGTGGGTACTATGGCCCCACTTTCTAGATGTTTTGCAACCTTAAGTTTTAAGTTGTCCATAAAATGGATTTGGAACAATGTGAACGTCTTTAAAGTGGAGAGCTACTGGACTCAGACGTTATCTGATTGGAAAGAGAGTACGATACCATTCCTACCTTGTAGCCGCAAATTCAAGATTTTTGTCGAAAATACGAAAGTCATCGTCCTCAGCTTTTGTATAGGATTTCAGAAGACAGTAGTGGTAACATGCAAGATCATAGGCCTCATCCCAATTTTCATAGTGATCTGTATCTTTAATTGTTCGTGCTGCTGGAAATGGTTGAAATCAAAGTTTAATGCATTCGGTATCGTGTTAATAAAAGAGCCTGAGCAACATGAAACAAATAAAATTCTTAGCAATTATGTTTTGCAACTTCAAGAGGATGCAGAGCTTGCTGAAAGAACGCTGAAAAGGATTTCATACTCTTTCGAACGCATTGTAGAGAAGGCCGAGAAACAACCACCCTACAATCTTATGAAACTTCTAGAGGGATATAGAGGTTTTGGAAGAGCTGAAAAGTTTGATAGCCATCATGTTCTATCTTTGCTTTTAGAAGAGTCTCCCGATTGCTGGAGCCTACTGTTGGTAACCCTGATAACCATAGCCATCTCTCTTCCTAACATAACAAAAGATAGAGTTGATTGTCTGCTAAGTGGTGTGAGTGAAGGTATGGTATATGTCACAATTGTGGAAGAAAGCCTCAATGCTACTGACGACCATGTGATCTTTCAAAAGGCTGCTCAAACTTTGTGGTTAGAAGTTGAGATCTACCAGAAATGGTTAGGAAACAAGCTGCAAAAACCTGTTCCTCTAGCGAATACAGCTGGACAGATTCTTCTGTGGTTGAGGGATACAGCTATGAACATGGTCACTCAGGTGGAAAGTAGCGACACTAAAGGCCAAAATGACAGTTCCAAATTCTGGTCTATTTCTGCGAGTTCAATGTATCGTATCACGGAAATGATCCTTCTTTCCAACCATGCTAACATTGATAAGGTTAGCCAAGAGGAACTGTTTGAGCAATTATCATCGATGATCGTGGACGTATTGGTTGCTTGTCTCATGAACTTACCGCAAGTCATAGCAATGAAATGCCACTCGAGTGAAATAGAGAAAAGGGAGGCAAGCGTCTATGCTGCAGCCCAACTTCTAGGTGAGACTATGCAAATAATCAACGCCATTCAAGATAGTGAACTTCCAAGCTTGAATCTAGACGACTTAGTTATTATTGTTAACAAATGGGGTGCTTAGTTAAAGCATCCCTTTACTTAAAAAACCATTTTTGTCGTGTAACCAAGTAAGTTGATAAAGACATATTTTATTCTCCTATGGACGAATATCATCTCATGTTTTATTTGCTTCCTTCTGAGATTTCCATAGATATTTCTTCTTATACTTGAATATGAACCCGAAAATGTAGCTAATGTGCTATATACTGGGCAGAAGCCTTCTCAAAGAATTATTTTAGAAAGAGGCTATACCCTTCACGAACGCCACATCATTAGTATTTACAAAGTGCAGTAAAACATGTGTGCACCAAGAATCCGAGTAATTTAGACTAAAATTAGTTCGATATGGAACGGAATTAAAATATCAAACGTAGTCAACCACCAATAAAATATGAATGAAAACGGGGGTTTATTGAAAAACCCAAAACTGGAAAAAACACTGGCGGAGGAAGCCGAGAAACAATTCACTATATTTTGCAGTGTTAGAGAGTTTTGGATAAAAATAAAAATACTACTCCAACTAGAGAGGTTCTGCTGTGATGTATAAGGCTGAAGTTATAATCTTGATGAAATCTTGAATAACCTTCAAGCCTTTTTTTATATATGCATGGGTAATATGAAAGCATGTCATATACATCGACTTTAATGTGCTGAAAATATACGTTTTCTTATTGTGTCTGACATGCATCCAACTTTCTTCAAATGTGTATAGACCTTCACAGTTGTATTAAATTTAAGCCACCAACCCTCTTTTTATTTTTCCATACTAACGTCTTAGAACAAATTTGACACAAGAGTTCATTAACCAGAATTTACAATTTTGGTTTGTTTAGTATTGAGAACTTGTCATTTTAGAAGGCATAATTTCCACAATCTTCACCTTGACTTCAAAAAGACAAAATGAAAATGATAACATGCTTATCAAACTTCAATACTCCATAAGAACCTGCAATCACCATAAAGAGAAAATTTGATTTTGAAAAATAAAATACTTCCTCCACCATGAGCCTAACCATGCTCAATTGCGATGAGGAACACCCACCAAGTCCAAACATAATTTGAACTTGGCTATAGGAAGTGTCTTAGTGAACATATCAAGTGGATTATAATCTGTATGAATTTTGTCCACAACACAATCACCTTTTCCATTGATAGCCCGCACAAAATAGAAACGGATATCAATGTGCTTTGTTCAGTCATGAAATATTTGATCTTTACTCAAGAAGATAGCACTTTGATTGTCACAGAATACCGTGGGGACCTTTAATTTATCATCAAGTTCACGTAATAAACCCGTCAACCAGATATCTTCCTTAACTACATCTGTGATCGCCATATACTCTGACTCAGTAGATGACAAAGCAACTGTAGACTGTAAATGGGCTTACCAACTAATAGCATAATCATGCAAAGTAAGCACATACCCTGTAATCGATCTTCATTTATCCAAGTCTTTGCCATAATTTGAATCAACATATCCAAGCACCCTAGTGTTAGCTTTACCAAAGTGTAGACATATAGAAGACATACCACGCAGATAACGAAAGATCCATTGCACTACTTCCTGATGTTCTTTTCCCGGGTTCGCATATATCTACTAACCATGCTAAAAACATAAGCCAAATTAGGGCACGTGAAAATCATAGCATACATCAAGGATCCGACAACAATAGAGTATGGTACACGTGCAATATAAGCCATATCAGTCTCAGTAGTAGGACTTAAACGGGATGATAACTTGAAATGAGCTGAAAAAGGTGTGTTGAGAGGTTTTGCTTCATGCATATTGAAGCATCTTAGGACTTTCTTAATATAGTTTTCCTGGGAAAGATGGAAGATCCTAGACTTTCTGTCAAGAACAATTTCCATACCTAAAATCTTTTTGGCGTCTCCTAAGTCGTTCATTTCAAAGTCATCTTTCAACTCGTCTTTCAATTTCTAAATCTCCTTCATATCTTTCATTGCGAGCAACATGTCATCCACGTATAAGAGTAAATAGATCATCGAACCATCATCACCGCTTTTTTAATAAACACAGCTATCATCGGCACACCTCTTGAATTCGTGACTAGTCATGAACAAATCAAAACTCTTATACCATTGTCTAGGAGACTGCTTGAGGCCATAAAGATATTTATTCAATTTACACACATATTCCTCCTTATCAGGAACTACAAAACCCTCAGGTTGTTGCATAAAAATCTCTTCCTCAAGCACACCATTTAATAATGTTGTATTAACATCAAGCTGCTCTAATTCATAATCATTAGAAGCAACAAATCCCAAAAATACACGGATACAAAGTATGTTTAACAACTGGGGAATAAATGTCAGTGTAATCAATACCACGAATCTGACTATAGCCTTTAGCTACTAACCGAGCTTTGTACCTTGGTTTCTCATCCGACTTGACAAGTCCCTTGAGCTTGTAGACCCACTTGCATATAAGAAGTCTTTTGCCTTTCGAATTAGGAACTAAATCCCAAGTACCATTTATTTGCAAGGACTCCATCTCAATTTGCATTACAATCATCCCATCACTTGACTCTTTAGAAATAACAACCTCATCACTCACAAGTTCCATTCTAGACTCAATATCATCAACAACAATAAATTCATAAGCATCAAGATAAGCTTTAGCATACCTTTTTGGAGGTACAACATCTCTTCTCGCTCTATCTCTTGCAATGCATGGAGTAGTAGCTCGTGGTGGTGAAGATGTTGACTCTTCAACAACAACGAGCTCATCAGACGATGAAGACTCCTGATATTCTACTAAACTTGGAACGGAAGTAGAAGGTAAAGTAGGAAGCTCCACCTCTATTTGAGCTTTTTCTTTACTTGCTTCCGATGATGCATCTGATGCACCTGTATCTTTCGAAGAGTCTAAGACTGGTTGAATCATATAGACTCATCAAAAGTAACATCTCTTGAGATAATGACTTTCTTCATATCAAAGCTCCACAACTGATACCCTTTAACGCCCAAAGTGTAACCAAGAAAAACACATTTAATTGCTCTTGGTTCTAACTTCCCATTGTCAACTTGTGTATAAGCTGGACATCCAAAATGTTTTAAATCTGGAGGTACAACATCTCTTCTCGCTCTATCTCTTGCAATGCATGGAGTAGTAGCTCGTGGTGGTGAAGATGTTGACTCTTCAACAACAACGAGCTCATCAGACGACGAAGACTCCTGATATTCTACTAAACTTGGAACGGAAGTAGAAGGTAAAGTAGGAAGCTCCACCTCTATTTGAGATTTTTCTTTACTTGCTTCCGATGATGCATCTGATGCACCTGTATCTTTCGAAGAGTCTAAGACTGGTTGAATCATACAGACTTATCAAAAGTAACATCTCTTGAGATGATGACTTTCTTCATATCAAAGCTCCACAACTGATACCCTTTAACGCCCAAAGTGTAACCAAGAAAAACACATTTGATTGCTCTTGGTTCTAACTTCCCATTGTCAACTTGTGTATAAGCTGGACATCCAAAATGTTTTAAATTTGTATAATCGCCAGGTTTTCCGGACCATAACTCAAATAGAGTTTTCTTCTCAATGGCTCGTAACAGTGATTGGTTGATGAGGTAGCAAGCAGTCGAGGTAGCCTCCGCCCAAAAAGACTTTGGCAATTTGGAATTAGAAAGCATACACCGAACCTTCTCCATAATGGTGTGATTCATCCTTTCAGCTATGCCATTTTGTTGAGGTTTGTGGACTACCGTGAGATGTCGAGTGATGCCTTCCTTTCGATAATAGGCATTAAACTCTTCTAAGCAAAACTCAAGTCCATTATCCGTGTGAAGATACTTTACCACCAATCCTGATTGCATTTTAACTTGTACTTTCCAATTTTTGAATGTAGAAAAAACATCAGCTTTATGTTTCAAGAAGAAAGACAACACCTTCCTGGAGAAATAATCAATGATAAGGAGCATATAAACAGCTCCACCTTTCGAAGAAACTCGATCCGGTCCCCATAAATATGAGTATACACAGTCAAGTGGTCCTTTCATTGTATGAATACCACTCATAAATCTCACTCATTTTGCCTTGTCATATACATAGTCTTCACCGAACTCTGAATAATAATCTTTTGTTCACCAAGTAATCCTCTTCGACTCAACTCAGACATACCTTGAAAAATCATATGGTCGAGTCTAAGGTGCCAAAGAAGGAACTTATTTGAATCAGAAAGTGACTTTGAAACAACAACAACATCACTCGATATTGGTTGCATGTCAAGAAAGTAGATATCTAAGGTTTTGATCTTGGATCTCAGTTTATTAGGAACATATCTAACTTCCGCAATGGTTCAGATAACCCCGTCAAATATCTGGATTCTGACTGAACCATGTCAAACATCTAGACATGTAGAATTGTTACCTATCAGAACATAGACTTAGTTAACCTTTTCAAATGTGTAAAACAAAATTCTTTTGTGACTCACATGAAAAGTACAACAAGAATCGAGTATCCATTCACCATTGTAATCCACTTTATCTGAATATGTCACACCCCCGAACCAGAACAGCGGAAACATTCGGGGGCGGATGACGTCATTGTATAGTACCATGACAAATGAATATAAATGGACATAGAAACCCACAAAAACATACATTAAGAGATACCAACACACATTGTTTACATGTATTTGCTCATAAATTACATAAAAGTAAGGATTTCCAAAATGCAACAAATCAGGATCTTAGGTACCTGCTTACTGGTTCCCTGAGAATACAAGTCATTTTGAAAATTGTCAACATTGAATATTGGTGATTTCATAAGCATATTTGTATGAAAATATTTTTAACATCTTTGATTAAAAGTGGTTGGTGTATCTCCATAAAATCCGATATTTTCTATGAAAATGATTCGTAAGCCTTGTTTCCAAAAATGTGAATATATGCATGCATGTCCTTGGTTTCTTTTGTTTGTAATTGTAAATGTATGTTCCCAGAAAATCTAATATTTTCTGTTGTATAAAAATTGTGGTCTTAAACCCTAGACCGATAATGAAAAACAATAGTGTACCGAGAGGAAAAATGCAGTTTTATATTTTATAAAACCGGTGAAG